CCCCATGTATTTCTTCCTTGTTAATTTGTCTTGCTTGGAGATCTATTACATTTCAACTGTCCTGCCCAGGATGCTGGCTAGTTTTGTAACTGGAGATCAATCTATATCTGTCTATGGATGCATCGTACAGTATTTCTTCTTTGGAGTTTTTGTAGCCACTGAATGCTATCTTCTAGCAATGATGTCTTATGATCGGTATTTAGCAATATGCAAACCATTGCATTATACCAGTCTCATGAATAATAGACTCTCCCTCCAGCTCGCCCTCACATCTTGGATGTGTGGCCTATTGACTAACACTATCATAACTTCCTTTCTGCTGGAACTTACCTTTTGTGGACCCAATGAAATTGACCATTTCTTTTGTGATATATATTCAGTAGCAAATATTTCATGCAGCAATACACGCTTAGTAAAGCTTGCTACATCTATTTTATGCATTATTGGAACAGGCCTACCCTTTCTCTCAACATTGGCCTCATATATCTGCATTCTTTATACTGTTTTACAAATTAAATCTAAAACTGCTCAGCAGAAAGCATTTTCCACATGTTCGTCCCACCTCATTGTGGTGACAATTTTCTATGTGTCAATATTCCTTGTCTATGTAGTTCCTGAGACTGAAACACTAAAGGAACTACACAAGATCTTTTCTATATTTTATACTGTCCTGACTCCTATGCTCAACCCTCTTATCTACAGTTTGAGAAACAGAGAGGTGAAGGAAGCTCTCTTCAAAGCCATCAGGAAATACAGCAACAAAATTTTGTAATCTCATAATGCCTTAAAACGTTTTCACTGCTGATCATGATATTCAGAAATGAATTTTTGCTGCTTTCTAAGTGAAATGATCTCATCCACATCTGTCCTTCTGTGATGAGCTAATTACTTCTCAGCATATAACTACTGTATGTATGTGCAAAATAATTGGAGATTATTTTAAATAATGGAGATTTTTTTTAGAAGCACTCAAGTGTCTTTCTGCTTTTAAATGTGCATTTTACAGCAGAAATGTAACAGCATACATCTGTAAAGTGATATGAACCTGCAATGCATTTTTTCGTTCTTTGTCAGTAAAAAATGATTGACAGTTTCTTTTTTTTTAAAAAAAAATCCTCATATGTTAGTGTTCCTTTTCAAGGAGTCAGGCAGTTCATGGACCACCTAAATGAGCAGTCTCCAATGTGCATGTGTGGGAGAAAATAAAGAACTATCCTCTGTCTTTCTCATTCCCCCTCCACCACCATCCTACTTTCCTTATTTGCTGAATTGTATCTACTATGTGTTCCCCAACATCCACATATATAAAGCTCATAAGGTAGACTTCCACAACTTCTGCCCTCAAGGTAATTTTGTATTACCACTCCTTTCCTCCCTGACCATTGGTGGGTAGTTATGGAAGTTACAGTTCAGCACATCTGAGAATACTAGGTTGGAGAAAAGTTATTGGGACTTCCTCTTCAACTAAAAAGGTAAGAAGAGTTTGATAGTGGAACCAATGGCCCAGAAAGTTAGTAGGTGGGTTCTCCTTAATTGGATGAGTTCCACTGGAAGTGAGAGAGCATCTAACTGGAATGATTCACCTCTATTGGAATGATTCACTTTGGATACGTGCACTGAGTGAAGGGTTGACCTCAGTGGCATAAATGGCTCCTTCCAACTCTCAGATTCCATGATTTTACTGCCTCTCCATTTGTTTTCTTAATGGCTCTCAATTTCAGTCATCACTTCACATTACTGGGCTATAGGGTCATGGAATCTGCTCAGTCTTGAACTCCATTTCATTCATTCTTCTTTAATTGAGCCTGTAGTTGACTAATTAATATATTCATGCACACTGTCTAATGCCTTGTACATGCAGAAACCTCAGTTTGTACCCTTTTTACTGCCTTTTATTTTTGTTACTTTTTTTACGTTTTTTTTACTCTTTTGGCTCTTTTGGCTCTTTTTACTGTCTTTTACTATTTTAATCTTTTTACTATTTTTTACTATTTTAGTATGAAAGGTTCACAAAAAATATTGTCATATTACATCAGATCCAAACCTGAATGTTTTAGTTGAGGCTATAGAAGTAGTAACATAAAACTCAAGCCAGTAAAAGCCTGCAAACTCAGGTTTACTAATAAAATTTGAGAGGTTTTAATCATGTCTGTGGATGATATCTGTGTCATGAAATTATTCATGGTAGTGAATACTCTGAAATACAATACTTTCCCCTCAGGTACTGTTTGGGGGGAGATATATAATCTAGTTTCTTTTCCTTCTTATCTTATGCTCTTTGTTCCTTTTTCTTTTGTTAGTTTAGGCCTTTTTGCTGTTGACATTTCAGTCTCATGAATTTTTCTAAGTGGCTTCAGTTCATACATGCCCCAGTTTTTGTATTTCTGTGGGTGATGACAATGATTTTCAGTTCAAGTCTGATGGATCCTATATCTGTCCCTTTTAAATGGTCATTCCATTCTTCATCTGCAGGTTACTTAAACTAGAGAATTAATTCACATTCATATGAAGTTAGAAGACAGAGATAATTGTGAAGTGTCACAGGAAGAACTGTAGAGGGTGCCAAGCTTCTTTGCATGGTTTTAAAATCACAATCTTTTTACCCAATCCTTAAACAGACTGATTATTTAATTGGTAATTGAGTATATATCTTACTCATTGACATTTAATTCAATAAAAATATAGAGCAACATTTCTATGAAAAGCCTCCATTAGTTTGACTTCCTCTGTAAAGTTCTTCCAAAATTTCCTTAGTGTTCTCATCCCAAAAATTGCAAACAGTTTCACAGAGCCAAGATACTTACAGAACAAGTGGAAAATATAAGGATTTATTTAACTTCCTAACCTGCTGTCGTTATATATTTTGGATTGCAAATCCGATTCTGGACAGCATCACCCATACGGATATGTTAGATTTAGAGCTAGATTTAGGCACTATCTTAATTACAGAGCACCAGCTCTATGTGGAAAATGCAAAGAGCTTTGTGGGAATTGACATATCTATTATGACATCAGTTTTTGGATATCGACATGTTTTCTTCGATGCCTAGAACATAATGTTGAGATAGGACAAATATATATAGTAATAATTCTCATATGAACATTGTAATAAATGTTACCCTCCCACACATAGCTGCTTACAAGCAACCACACTGAAACTCATTCCTCATTTCCAAGCCCTAAGAGAACTCTTAAAATGAAAATATTTTCAACCCTTGTGGGTGAAACTCACACCTTTCCCTTTCACCAAATACTTTTCTCCTGTTCTTTTTAAAAGATCCATTCCAGCTCTATACAAAACTGAAGATTGATCAGGAAAAAAAAAATGGGTAAAAATTAGTTTGAAAATCTTGTCCAAGGCCAGTAGGATTTTAAGAAGGTAATAAAAGTTATGCTGGAGGCTACAGAAGATGAATGGTACTCTCTTGCTGATTTCTGGCCTATTTTCTCATGCATAAATTGCTAAATGAGATGGGTTCAGTTTTCCTTGATGGTTAAAACACGAATAACTGACCTTTTCTGGCTCTGGATCCCACTGTTATTCTAGGAATTTACACCCAAATAAGTCATGTTCATGAGATGACAAATTTAATGAAGTTCAGTGACTCCAATTCCAAATCTTCCAAGTAATTGATGATTTTTAGAAGTATTATTATTTTAATTAAAGTTGGAGAGGGTGATCCCTGTGTTAAGAGCAACCCAAATAATGTTTTTTTGAAATCCCTCAAGGATCACACAGCCACTGAGAAGTCTATCTCATTGATCCAGAAAAAAGATTGCACCATTTTTTTTCTTCACTGATGCCATTCTTTCATCATAATATGATGAGGTCTGCCAGAACCAAGTTAGCCATATCCTCCTATATGATAAGAGCCAGAGGTACATTTCCCTTAAGAAGAACTAGGGTTAGGAAAAATCAAAGGAGTAATAAATTAAATGAAAATATATCCATTTCAATTTGAGGAGGATGAATTTTCTGAACATGGCAGATTTTATGAGGGTGGAAAAAATTCTAATCCTATCTATGCAGCTGAAAATAATTAAATTTGTAGATAGCTTTCTCTGTTGATGTATGCAAGTTTTGTAGTTTAGGTGATCAAAATCTCTTCCAGTCACCAATTCTTATTTTATGGCTGAAGAATACCATCTCTCTACATCTCCTCTGCTTGTGGGGTAAATGCCCATGCTGGTCTAGGATTTTGATGCTAGAGAAAAGGAAAAAGTCTCCCTCTGTTTCCCAGAGTGAAGCCAGACAGGAAGGGGGGGAAAATGGACTCTTTTGATGAGATAGTGTCTTCTACTGTGTCTGAAACACAGACAAGCAAATGAACAAATCTGATCAGCTCAAAAAATGCAGGACAACCTCTTTGCCTTTCAGCTCCCTAACTTGGATAGCCTGCCACTGTACTTTGCCTTTCAGCACCTCCCACCTAATGCTGGGGCAAAATCTGCTTGACAATTTCTCAAAAGTTTTTATTGACTTCTGCTTCTACCATATTTTCAGGATGCTCCATGATATCTTTTGAAATCTCTTTGGGGGTGTTTTCGAGCTCGCTTTAAACTGGAGCTGGCAGCCCTGATACTGTTGGTGTTGCTGTTTTTGGTTGCTTATCTTTCATCATTCCCTGGCTTCCTACATCCTCCAGAGTGAAAAAGCCATGCCAGAGAAGTTGCCTTGGCATTCAGGTGAAGTATGGGAAGCCAGAGAAGCTGCAGACTGCAGGAGCAATGACTGTAGCATGAGAGACAGGACTGGAATGCCCTTCTCTGAAAGAACGTTTGAAAGCAGATTCCTCTTTGAATGTCTCTCATTGAAGAAGATGATAAGAAATAGAAGAAATGCTGGACTTGTTTTCTGCCCAGCATTAATGCCACTTAAAACACATGTTTTGCACATGATAGATCTGTCCTAGGGAGCATTCAGGGTTTCATGTTACTTGATTGTGGGGCTCTGGATTCCATTATCACCATGACTTCTTCTTAGATCATTCTTAAATAAATGAAGCATAAATGACTCTGTAGATCTGCTGCTATCCTGGCTGCTATTGTTATTTTTAAAAAACTATGATTATAAAACTAGCCATGTAATGGTGGGGCTGCAACATCCAGTCAGTCAGAAGAGGGAAGCACAGAATTAGGGATGTTTCTATCTCATTGCTGCTATCTAGAGGTCATTCATTTTTGCAGCCAAGATCTGGTAGCGCTGGGACCTAGGTTTTTGACTGATGCAGGGATATAATATTGATTATCTTCTGTTGCCCTATAGTGATCATTTTAATATTTATTTCCAAGTTCGGTTTGGCTTCCTCTACCACCCCTCTTCTACAAAGTTTGAAAAAAGGTAAAAAGGTTAGAATATATATTCTTGATATATATAATCAAGATCTATAATCAAGAAGATACGTTTGTGGTGCCACATTTATAATTGTTTTAATTAATCATGGGGAATCTTGACTTTCAGTTCATGTTCTTGGTATTCGCTTTCTTATTCTGATTATGGGTCAACTTACCCTGACTTGATATCATGTAACATTTGTAGCTATGAACCTACTGTAGAACATCAGAAAATTATTCTTCAAACCATTCTGAAGATTACAAAATAATGTTTGTCTGTGTGTCTCTGTGTGTCTTTCTGCATATGAATGCATCTATCAACTGTCCCCCCTCCTTTAAGAGCACTTGTCACATATCCTCAATTTTTGCTCCCACTACATACCCACCTACCTATCTAACACAGTATTCCCTTTCAGAGTAAGCAATATTACAAAAAAC